GACTTGGTCGAAATAAAAAGTCGACCGCTCGAGATAAAAGATCGACGTTCGCAGGATAAAAAAGTCGGCCGGGTCGAGATAAAAAGTCGCACCGGTCGAGATAAAAGATTCGACGGTCGATGATAAAAAGTCGACGGTCGAGATAAAAAAGTCGGCCGGTCGAGATAAAAGTCGACCGGTCGGATAAAAAGTCGACCGGTCCGAGAATAAAAAGTCGACCAGTCGAGATAAAAAAGTCGACCGGTCGAGATAAAGTCGCCCGGTTCGAGATAAAAAGTCGACGGTCGAGATAAAAAGTCGACCGTTCAAGATAAAAAAAAAGGTTTGATGGTTCCTTCGAGGCGCTTCCGTAGGGTTAGTGTCAAGCAAGTTCATAAGAATTATTGAATGTGGGAAAGAAAGGAAGTAGCTGTTTTTAGTTTTAAGTTCATATAATTTCGAAAGAGAATAAATGTCATTTTTTTAGAAAAAGTATCGTGTAATTTGGTTCAATGCAAAGGTATATCTGTATATGCGACATATTTTCATTTGATGCGATTTGATGGATGGCTCGATCTATTAATGGAATTAAAACCACGCAATTTTTCAATCTTTGACAATTCACTTTTAATTATTATTTCGAAATTTGGTTTGTTTCGATTTGCACTTATTTTGTTATAGAGGAGTTGAATGGGATTTTTTACACGTGACATCCGATATCTAACGGTTGAGCCGACGTAATTTAATAATTGTTAGCATCGTTATTCGTATTAATTGGTTTCTACGCCCTCTCATTAACTTAGAGAGGGCGTTTCCTTCCTTCGGGTATTTCCTGCTGAACAAATACCAGCCCAGCTCGAGAGTGTTAAAACTGCAACAGGCTGTTTCCGTGCCAAGATATCAATTTCATTGGACCTTAGCAGGGAGATAACGACCACCTTGAAGTCATAGTCCTGTTTGCACCCACCACCCACCATCCGGACACTTGGGCATTTAGATAACCATCCGAACAACTGCATTCATCCGAGAAATTTAAACAGCCAATAGATACTTTCCGTTACTTCTGTGTGTTATAAGCGTATCGTTACATACCTCCTAAAGGAATCAATTTTGCATTTTAACTTGGTCAGTAACTTTACCGTCATTCCTGCCGATGCATGATGGACTTAAACGTGGTAGTCGATCTTGGATTTACAACCACAAGTGATATGCATTGGATCTTCAGGTAGTAATTGGTTCACCACGGTACCACCGAGTTTAGGTGCGTGTCTGTTACAGGGTCGGACTCCCTACAGTGACCGATTTCCATTTCAAGGTAATATTGTTATGATTATATGTGAATACTTGTGCTTTCAGTATAGAAACAATTATTGATTGTAGTTCATTTTGATTTTGGGAAACTTTTGCTATACAGTCAATTACTTACTAATCGGTCATTGTCGATTGGAGTATTGGTTAATTGCGGAATTCACCATTATTTACTAAGAGTTTTCAATCACATAATCAATACTTTTGAATATTTGTGGGATACGCTATCCAACTGTGGAGGCAATTTTATCTTGCAAGTTGATATTTAGAATAAACCAGTATTTCTTTTGGTACCTGAATTGATTTAATTGTCATTACTGCCCTCGTATCTCTCCAATTTCATACGGGGAAAGTTAAGATAGACATTGAGTGTCGCTCAACCCTATTGGTAAGTGGTAACGAAGTGACAGAATCATACCGATAGTGCCATAAAGTTTGGAATTTGTAGGGCATTTAATCTTGTAAAATGGTTGTAGGTACTATTAAATTACATTACCAAGAATTAAGAAGAAGAGCTGATAATGACTATGAAGAGCACCGAATAAAATTAGTAGGGTAAAGATGACGATTATACAGCGTACGCCGACGCTTACCATTAAAACAAGGAAATGGAAGATGGCATATTGATTTCTTCTGCGTCAGAGTGCAGTAGTCAAATTGTAGTAGCAAGGAAGATAGATGGACCGACGAGACTATGTGCATACTACAGAAAAATAAACAGGGTTATCGTAACCACTATTGAAGATGTGCTCGAGCAGCTCCGAGATGGAGCAGCAATAGACTTGAAAAACGACATGGACGTTGAAGAAGAAAGTCAAGGTATACATATTTAATGGCATTATGATGGCAGTATTGATCCCGAAAAGTACCATTTGCTTTGTGTAATTCCGCCTTTAGCATTTCAAAGATTTATTGTGAGCTTTATGTTTCGAAAATGGATTAATAAGAAAGTGGTACTGTTGTATATGGACGATTTGGTAATACCTGTAAAGATTATCGAAGAATAAATGGAAAGCCTAAAGCTTGCGCTTAGAACAGCCAAAGCTTACGGTTTGAAAATCAACAGAAAGATATGTGAATTCTTTAAAGAAAGAATGAAGTTTTTAGGGCACATTTTCGACAATAGCAAGCTGTACCTTTCTCCCAGCAAGACGGTAGTCGTGAATAATTTTCCACAACTGACGAATATGGCGAAAATTCAACGTTTTTTAAGGCCCGGCAAAAAAATCCCGTTTAAGACCGGAAAATGAAAACGAAATTTGACATTTTAATTTGTTTAGTGTTTAAAATTTTTCAAAAATGTCAAATCCGGTTTTTTTAATCACAAAAAGGGAGATTTCAATAGTGAGCCATGTAGAATACTGTTTGAGCCGTTTTTAGCGTATTTTTCTCAAAGTGAAAAATCGCTATTGGCTGCACTTTGTCATCCGTCCGTCCGTCACACGTACTCTTTCTACACCACTGAATAGATTTGGGCGATATGGGGCTCATTTGACAGGGCTCGGTCCAAGGATTCTGTGCATATAGATATTTTTTGATCTTGCGCATGCGCAGTGTCAAAAATTTGGATTACCGCATGTGTATTGCTAACTTTTTTATTTATGAAAGCATTTAAATGAAATTTTATACATAGGCATTTGGAATAAAGACAAATCTAACACCAGTTTTAAAATTTGGTTTTGCGCATGCGCAATGGCAACTTTTTTATTTGTGAAAGCAGTTAAATGAAATATCATATGTAGGCACTATGAGTGAAATCAAAATCTGTTTATATTTGTACAGGGTCCACTATTTTTCATGACAATAGGCGGCTCATTTGAAAGAGAATGGGTAAAGGATCTCGTGCCTACCGGTATTTTTTCTCAGTCTTAAAATTAATATTATTAGGAGGAAAATACGCACGCGTCATTTGTGTTTGTATAATGAATTTTTAACTTGTTTTAAAATTGCATAAGAGCAATTGCAAAAATGCATTTATTTAATTATTGCATAAAATAGTTATTTATATAACAAGACCGCGAAGTTTAATTTCGCGCATTGAGACTTCGCCTCGTCAAAATATCAGTCAAAAGCGCGAAATAACTTCGCGCTAGCGTTATATACAATATTTTTTCTACAGCTGAACCGATTGTTAATTAAATTTGCTGTTTAAGTTCAACTTTGTCACGTGCGCGAAATACTTTTTTTCACTGTTGACGATTTCGCGCACGTTGTCAATGGCAACCTTACTTTTAATTTAATTTAATTTAATTAACCGTTTAAAAATCTAGTACTTCGCGTTTCGAAATCCGTCAGAAAATGACAGGTTTTTTGACAGTTGTAGAAAAATTACATATAAACATATTAGCCCGGAAAAATTGCTTAGAAATTCTCACCCGAGGGTGTTCAAAGTGATCGGAGACCATATCTGACCTCGGAATTGATCTGAGATGCTCAGGGGTGGCTCTACGGAGTGCGGGGAATGCTGTGGAGTGAGTGAAAAATTAACAGCGTCGGGAAATTGCCCGGAAATCGTTACTCGGGTGGTTTCGCGATCATTAATTCTAGATAAGCCCTCGGGGGGGGGGGGGGGGGCACTGCCGAGATGCAATGAACTGGCTCGGGTTTTCGGGGTCGAGATCTTCCTTTAAAATTTCCCAAGGGATCGCGATACGAGGGAGGCGAGGGTGACTTTTGTTTTGAGTAAAAAATGTCAATTGAGAAAAATATAATATTTTCTCTATATCAATTTCTCGACACGGATAATTTTTCATCTCATTGCTCCCCCGTAGAGCTACTCCTGAGCACCCCGGGGCAATTTTAAGAGTAGTTATGGACCGTGTGCGTTTCAATGCTCCATAGCAACGATTTCTAAGCGATTATTGAGGGTTTTCATACATCGATTTCTAATTTTTACGCAATAATAAATTAATTTTTGCACCCCTTGCGCAGTTTTCAAAAAATGGCTCAGTCAGTATTGTACAACATTCTTCTTTGTATTTTTTTGAGTACTATGCCAAAACCGCATTTCCATACGAATTGATCTTGTTGTAAATTAGGGTAAGCGAATAAATTTAATTTTTTGCGTAGTGATCAAATTACCAGGTCTCTTTTTATTACTTTCATTCACGATCTTTATTATGCCTTTTCATGGCGTTTAATCCTATCTATAAACAATAGCTTCAATTGTTGAGTAACAGTATCGCGAATATCAAAATTACTCAATTTAACGTTTTTTGAATTGGAGTAGAAACAAATGAGGTTGAAACCTGCAACCTTAGAAATCCGTTTCAGATTTGTATGTTTCACATAAAGACGTTTTCTAGCAGTTTCAGTATTTACACATTCATAGTTTTTTTTATTTCACACATTAACAAAATTAAAGCTTAACTAAAAATGTACCGACGCAACGTGACGTCCAGATAAATATCCCCACTCAATCATTCAGTGCTGTGGTGTATCAGAAACACCAAACTTAACGTACAGGTTATCTGCCAGGAAACGCTACCTTGTCTTATGGAGTATGAGCAAAATAACGTTTTCTACAGATAACCTGCACGTTAAGTTTAAGTAAGTGATGTTTTGATCTACTGATTCTCGGTTTCGTTTGGTTTTTGTTCCTCCATTTTAGCTTCGTCGTTATTTTCTCTGTTTCCATACTATTTACAACTGTCTAATCGTGTCATTCATCAACGAACCTTCTTTTCTCATTCTTTTCTGTACAACGTTTCTCCTCATTCGACACTCATATGTCGTAGTTCTCTAGAAACCTCCGACTGACGTTTCTCGATAATTCCTAAAAATATACGTATAATTAACATTTAATATAGTACACAGTCCTCACTGTTGATATGGAATTTGCTTTTTTTTAAAAGGCCCTTGGTCGCATTATTTACCCGCCCAGGCAAGTAGCAAATGTGAGGCTTCGCCTTTGTAAGAATGAAATTTTTCCTAAGTTTCTGACGCTCTTCCCATACCTCATAATCGAGCATACGTGCCATTTGGAACTCCATCGCCTCAATTTCGGCTTGCTTTCGATATCGGATGAAAAATAAGTCCCGTCGTTCTTTCTTTATTCTCGCTTTCTCTCTTATTTCGCGTTCCTCAATCCTTTTTTCTACCCGTGCTCTTTTTTGCTCCTACAAATAGAAATTAGTCTCGTAACAGAATAGTCTTTACACTGTACCTTTGACTTTAGCTTAGCTTCTTCCTGTTGAAACTTTTTCAAGGTACCCAAGAGAACCCTGAACATCCTACGGTTTCTCGCTGTGGATTTATCATCGGTGTTTTGGGCCGCTAAGGCTAACTGCCGACCCCGATCCGCGCGTCGGGTTACTATAAGTTTGATAATCAACTGATTTTGTGGCGGTTGTAGAATTTTGAGTTCGTAAGGTGAAGGTTTTTCGGAAAGCTGCCTTCGTTTATTGAGCGGCTCATCATGGTCGAAGTTACTCGTGTTTTCCTCAATAGGTAAATTCCTTTTAATTCCAGGTCGAGGGATTGTTTCAAAAGGGCATCTTCCCATTAGACGTTTTATGTTTTCATCTATCCTTTTTAGGCTACATTTAGATCGCTCTAATTCTGATTGTAAGTCGCTGAAGGATTTTAATCTTGCAGTACCCATTGTGCTGAAGATATAAGGATCATTTAATCAAAACACAAAAATTGGAAGCTCATGTATTAGTCATAATTAGGTTTTTTTAGGTTGGCATTACGGCGCACTTCCTAAATGAGGCAAAAACCGAACGCAATGGAATTAGGAGTGATACGAATTACGATAACGAGAAAGATAACCTATTCCTAACTACCGAAATTGTGTTTCTGGATCACACAAACTCATAAATTATTTGTGAGTTTACTCAAGTTTTAAAATATTATCTGGTATTCACAGTCACACGTCTCGACTCGAAAACTCGGGTCGAAAATTAGCCGAGCCTTCGACCTGAACTACACTTATTTCATTCGAGCCGACCTGTGTCTTTTTCGAGTCAAATCGAGCTGCTCGTTTCGAACTGTCTAGCTTATGGGGTAGGTGGACTGAATTTATTCAGAACTGAAATGGCTAAAGGCTTTTATGCTATAACGGCAAGCAATTTCAGTTACCTTCGAGCTCCATAATCTATATGTATCCTGGGGGGATACCGGGGGATACTCTATCAGTATAGTCCAAATGGAATGGTATAGTACATTTATTTTTCTGAAATCGCCATGAAACCTTCAATTTCATGCATGCCTACTTTATGTCAGAAAATTGAACATAGTTTCCATGGAGTGGCAGTAATATTTTCTTTGGCTAATTTTCCTGCCTCCTGTCGCTTTACCAGACTCCTCTCAAGACTGACACATTCTAGTATTAATAAAAAGTTTCTATTCGTGCAGAGGGGAAAGAATACCCATGCCCGGAGGTGGTTAATGGCGAGTAATAGGTTTAGAAAAGCTTATTGAGGGTTCTATATATATTTGTGAAAAATTTCAGAGCGTACCTTCCCGGACGAATCTTTCGGGAGCCAATTTTTCATTGGCGAATCTTCTTGGGGACGAATTTCCGAATGCTAACTTCCTGCAAATTGAATTGGCATTGAATCAAATTTTCAAAGAATGTCACACGAAACATTGTGCAGCCCACGGGAATAAGATGAAAAATTCCAATTCCCTCCCATACAAATTTGGTTTATTAGGGGTGCAAATTACAGTTCCTATACCCTGTGTATGTGTTGTTACAAGTACCAAAATTATAATTTCTCATGCATAGAAGAAAAGAACGGGGAGAAAATAAAGATTATGTTACCGAAGATAAAAGAACCAATTCGCAAAGAGGGAAAGCAGAAAGAGAAGAGCAGAAGGAGACATTTTACCAGAGCAAATAAAATATAAAGGAATGGGCGAATGAAACGAAGCAGGAAGAAGGAATTCATACACGAAAGACGAGTGCAAGTGGAGAGGAAGAAGGCGAGAGTGCTAACGATATATCACAGACAAGGAATGTGTTAAAACATAATTAGAAAATGTGATAGATGAAAAGGGAGACGAGGCGATAATAAGGGGGGTGGGTGTGGGGGGATAAGGAAATTAGGTGCAGATTGGAAGAGGAACATAAGATAGAACAATAGACAAAGAATGCAACAAAGAAGGAGAGTTGCTACTGGAATTAATAGCAAAGAGAATATATTAAACGGAAACATGGAGTGGGATATACAGGGTGACAATTTGAAAACTTACCACCCCTCATATCTTAGTAAATAAACGAGATATTTAAAAAAATTAAAATCCGTTTCGGTAATTCGGAGGGGGAATCACAATGACATAGTTGGCGACGTACCCCCTCCAACCCCCTGCGCCCCAGCCACCCCAACTTTTAAATCTTAAATAGTGACCCCCGATGTGTGATACGTCGTTGGAAAGCTCTGAAAAAATGCTTTCCAACCATACCAAATAGCATTACATTTAGGTTAGTAATTATCGTGCAAATCAAAAAATAAACATGGAAAATCGTATTTAACTTGAACTTCCAAAGCCGACTCGACAGCAACTCATTTTTGATCGCCAGTTATAATCTATTCTCAAACTGTTGGTTTTGCAATATTTCGACATTCTTGAATTATTCTCTGTCTTAGTTCGCCGGTTGCGTTTTAAATACGACAGATTTCAAATGTATCATATTAGTTTATTTTTTGATTTGCACGATAATTACTAACCTAAATGTAATGCTATTTGGTATGGTTGGAAAGCATTTTTTCAGAGCTTTCCAACGACGTATCACACATGGGGGGTCACTATTTAAGATTTAAAAGTTGGGGTGGCTGGGGCGCAGGGGGTTGGAGGGGGTGCGTCGCCAACTATGTCATTGTGATTCCCCCTCCAAATTACCGAAACGGATTTTGATTTTTTTAAATATCTCGTTTATTTACTAAGATATGGGGGGTGGTAAGTTTTCAAATTGTCACCCTGTATGTGGGCAATACAGGTACATACATGGGAGGGAGAATGAGGTAGGTCATTGACTGCATACTAGTAAACGGAAGAAAGAAAATTTTAAGATAAGAACGAGGACAGAATCAGATCACCAAGCGATGGAAATAAGGCTAACAGGGAAGATAAAGAGAGCAAGAAATGGGAAGCATCAAAGACGAAGCGAGATACAATTATGGACAATAAACACGAGGGAGGATTATAGAAGGAGACTAGATGAACAAGTATAATATGAAATAGGAGAGAGCACAGAGGAAATAGGAAACTGATAAACGAGGAAGAAGGGAGAGATAAAAGAAAGGAGTGGTGAGACAAAGAGTACAGAAGAGAAAAACATAGGGATATGTAAGAAAAAAAGATGAAGAAGCAGATAGAATATGAAAAAGAACTCAGGCAAATTAAAATGGAGGGGAACTTTTAGAAGTTAATAAACAGGGGAAAAGGGAAAAACACATTTAGTGGGAGAGGAAGAGAGGAGTTGGAAGGAGACGAAATATCAAGAGAGAGATAGAGTAACAATTAAGAAGACTGAAGAAAGGGAAGGCGGTAGAGAGAGACGAAATAAGAAATGATGCTATATTTTCGCTACAGATAGCATTAAGGAGAAGCTGAGGAAACTGATAAGGAAAATGTCGAAAAGAAGAGAACTACCGGAAGAATGGAAGGAAGGAGTAATAGTACCGATTTACAAAAGAGGTGAGAAGGATACTGCATGGAAAATTATAGAGGGATCTCGATAATAACGATGGCGTATAGACTCTTCGCAATTGTACTGAATGCAAAGTGAGAAAGAGAAGAGGGTGAGGAAACGCAAATGTGCTCTAGAAAATGGAGGGGGAAAGGAGTCTGAAGTGTTATGGACAATAAAAGGATTGAGGCAGGGATACCCACTTAACCCAATCTTATTTCATTTCTACATAGGGGATATGGAGAAACTATTAAGACAGAGTCAAAGTGGAGGAATCGTGATGGGAAGAAGGAAGAGTGTGGTCCTTAGTTAGCTTACGTGAATGACACAGTATTGTTGATAACACTGAGAAAGAATCTATCTATGGAGATTGTCTTTTTCCCTATTCTCTTCTTCCCGGTAATCGGACTGAAGACATGTGTTTGACATTCTTAGAAGATCTCATTGGTTCAATGATAATCAACATTATGGAACGTGATGAGCGTTTCATAGAAGATGAGGTGATATTCGAACAAGACGGGGCTCCTCCTCATTATGTACAGGATACTAGACAGTTCTTGGACCTTAGGTTCCTTGGCAGATGGGTGGGACGGTCCTATCAGATCGCCCAGATAGGTCGCCGTTAATTTTTTTTGTCGGCCCATTTGAAATTTAAATGCAACTTGAATATTTAGAAGAGTAACGAATGCAGTTAGATTACCCCAGAAATTATACCAAACGTCCGACACCATTTTGGACTAATATTCATTATTGTATGTGGTGGTCATTTTTTCCAGTAATTTTGAATAATTGTTACTGTTACGAAGTTAGGTCTGCAAATCCATTTAAATCAAGTTTCTCTGGAATTACTGATCGGATTTGAAAAATAAAAACAGTGCTGAAAATAGAATAAATATGCGTATTGAACTATCTAACGATTACCACCTTCTCATTTAAACTTTTTGGGATACAATTCACCCCCTTCACCGAGTGAAGTTACGTAAATCGTATGTCCCCCTCAACATTAAAATTGACCTGTTCGCGAACGAGCGTTTTTGGCAAAACTGTCCTCAAGCGGCCAAAATTGGCATTGGCTGTTTTCAGTTGGTAAGTTACAAATATTAATAAAGGTTTACCCGTTAGTCGCATAAAAATTTTTGCCATATTTCGCGAAAACTGTTGGAAAAACCCGATTTACATTTCCCATAAAAGTTTGTTTTATTATCTTTCCAACGAGCCCAAGATATTTAAAATCAGATAAGCGGTTACAGGTAGATCAACCGACCCCCCTTCCAAATTTGTTTAGGACGGCCAAACTTTAACAACCCTGATGATAACGACAAGAAGTAACTATCACTCAAAATTGTATTGGGAAATCTTAGCGAAATTGGCAAATTGACTTTTTGGTACCACATATTGTGGATTTTGGATAATAGAAAAGTTATTGAATTCTGTATTTCGAACCACTGAATGGCGCATGTGTAACATTTTTTATAATATGATGATGACTGATCTACAGGTAGGTATGAAAAAAGCTGTCTAATAAAATTGATGAACCAATTCGCCATTAAAAGATATATACGGTTGTCTTTAATTATTCGGTCGGTTAGGTACGATATATAATGTAATTGAAGATCACGGCGTTCAGATTTGCGTTTTCTTTGTTGCATCAAATCAAAGTCTTCAACAGGTGGTTGATCAAACTGAAAGAATGCGATATGTGTTGATGTAATGTTATGAATCAGATTAGTAAGGCCGATACAATTCCGTCGTGGCTATTATCCTCGGCGAGGACAGATATAGCGCGGTTTTCACACGCGGCGGCATCTCTGATCCATTGTTAGTATAAAATCAGCTTCGATCCGCCACGTTAATTAGAGGTTAGCGTTTAGTACGATACCAATCTATGCGTTTAATATCTATCAACGATCAATACACAGAAAGATTATGATCACGAACACAAGCTATACACGATACCGTTACAAATACGTTTTCAAACTCCCTTTTATAAAACACACCACGGAGCAGTTTCTTGGATTATTAAGTTTTATGGTTCAAAAAAATATTGCACAATTTTTTTATAAGCGCAGATGTAAATTTTAACTACTTTGAAAAACATCAAATTAACTTAAAAGCTAAAAGGTTTTGATTGTAACTTTGTCACTTAGTACGGAATCTTTCTCAACTCAACTATAAACTATTTATTTATTAATTGTAAAACTACGTTTGTACCGGATTTGATTATCATTGCCGCGTATAAAATTCTAGAAAAAATCGAAAACACGCAATAAAATCAACTTAATGGTAATCATTCGAGGATAAGTATTAGTTTACCTCAAGACATAAAAGTAAAGTTTAAAATTCCAAAATGTTCCAACTTGCATTAGGTAATCTATATTTAAATTAATTTAAATCCTTTATTTGTCGGGTTCAAATTTACATTTTATTACTGCAAAATGGCAGTCATAAAAAACGTTAGAGGAGCAGGAATGAAATTGTGATGAGCTTCAAACGGGATTTTTCTTAGGTACATTACATTCGTTTACAACCACCTCCAACTCATATACTAGAAAAGCGGTGTTCACAGGTTTTTAATTATTTGCGCCATGCCGACTTCGAGATGTGGCGCTATATCTCCTTCTATACTTTTAATGTAAATTAAATCTACTGGTACGTCTCCAGAAAACTGTTCCCCAAAACTTTTAGGAAGGTGTATATAATTTGTGAGCATTTCAAATTGTTTCAAAGTTAATTTTTACGGCTTCTTAAAAATTTTCATTGCCATTGATCGTAACGAAAGCCTGCATGGAAAATTTGAATTTCTTTCCTAAATTTTCTTTCTCGGTAGATCTTCAGAGGTAATTTTGTGAATTATTTTCTGTTAATATGTAGAATAACCCTACTGCCGAAAGTACTGCGTGTTGTACAAGGCGAATAAGCAAAGGCCCTCCCGATAGCTCCTTTGCAGTGAAGTCTGTGATTTTTGATTTTTGTGCATTTGTGATACCACACCAAACAACCAAACTTTGTGGTTCTGATTATTTGCCGGTTATTTTGAGATTTTATTATAAATTATGGGTTGTAATGGAGCGAGATTCGAGAGATATGAAAAACCAGGTGGCGAACCAGAAGGCTACTCTCCAGTTTTGAAACCATGTTGCGAATGTTCATACGTGACCAGTTACACAGTTACAAGTTTCCACTCTACAGTGTGCTCATTTCAAAAGTATCACTATAACTCTTCACTTATTGTGATTATTGCTTTGAATGGAAACACGTCGATTTAGATATAGAGGGGGAAGTTCAAAAATGATACCTAGAGAATTTTAGGTTTCATCCCTTCGCACGCACTAAAACGGCACCCCCTACCTCATGGTACATCATTTGAAAGGGCATAAAATTCTATACTCAACCAAGATAAAAAAATGAAATCGATATTATTAGCGAAAAATTGCGTATTGGATACAATGTTGAATTAAATTACAGTCATAAGGAATAACAAATTAAAATAAATAATAAAATCAGAAATAAGAGGAGATGATTAGATAACAAAAAATCTGATACAACTGAAAACCGAACGATTCTCGAGATCGTTTTTGGACAGTAACTTTTGGCTTAGCTACGATAACGTTTCTTACATCCTTAAGTAACATGTGTACCAAACACGAACAGGCAGATGGACAGACAGACAACAATACAATAACGAACAACGACAATTAAACTTACTACACCCGAACACAGTTTGGCTAATGCTTAACTAACTCGATTTAGTATTGCGGAAATTCGTTTAGTCGCTTTCCATACTTTTCGTATATTCAAGCGAAAACATTAAACAGCCTTAAATTGAATGCAATCGAACTGTAACTGTCCAATCACTTTGATAACGCTTAATCGCGCAGGTCAAAAGGTGCGACAAATACCTTATACTGGACGGTCACACACTCTTATATACCGGATGACCGGGTGACATTTATTAACGTTACAAAGTTATCTTTATTCATAACGATTATTTTTCGGAAAAAGCTCACACAAACACTTTACGCAAAATTGGCTCCGATCCATTCAAATGTTCTATGGAATGTTGTAAATACAATAATTAATGCAGACATTTTGGACAACATTAACCAAGATTTGGTAATTTTATATGTAACAAAGAAATATTCATTGAATTCAAAAGTTTTCTTCGAAGATTTTCTGTATTCGCTGTTTATTTGTAGTACATTTAAAAATTATCGAAATTCATAAGTTACACTTGTAGCAAAAATTTTACGAACTAGGATACTAAAATTCCAAAAATTACAAATAAGGACTTTTTTCTAAATATTTCTGCAAGTTGAAAACGATTAATAATTTACACAATACTTTTAGCTGGACTAATCAAGGAAAAAATAGCGTTTTGTACAGAAGTTAATTGTTTTTAAATTTGATGTGAGAACTTCTATACTACAATCCCTATTTTGTATATTAAAAATTTGTCGATGAATTTTCATTGTTACTGCGCTATTTTACTAGTGTAATCATCTCTTATGTTTTCATTAAAAAAAATCATTCTTTAATAATTCCTCGTTAAAAATACCTAGTGCTTTCCATTAAAAAAGACCCTCTTAGTACTGTACACGCCTAGGTGGTCGTATGCCATTATAAATAATTTTTAAGTATTAGATTTACTTAAATTTTTTTAATGATTTTTGATAAGCATAAGTTTTTTAATGATGCTATATCTAAAAAAGTATACTCTTTAAAAATACGTAATGAAAACTAGTGGTTGGTGCAATTGAACTGACCGCAAATTTAAACTGCGTAGATTCGTAGCAAACTATTTATAATTTTGGATAGGTACTTATCATAAAAGGCTTCTTTAAAAAAACGTTGTTTTGAAAATTCAGTGTACTAGCCATTTTCGCCCTGTATACGCTTTGCATAACGGTGAATAAAAGCGATGGTAATTTTAATAATGCTATTCTGCATTACGAAACCTGGAAACATTCACACCTATGAAAATTATGTAGACATCCTTAATAAGTGAAAACCCATAAAAAAGTATCGACCACGTTTCATTTTATGCAGACATAATGAAATTAAAAAGCCTCTGGCGAGATCTTGCATCAAGCGTTGCAATGGTAATCAATGATGTGTTGAGACAAAGCCCCGTGTATAAATAGAAAAATAACACAAGCTAAAATGGCTAATATTATTGAAAGTGCTTAATCTGTCAATCACGCAGGCATTTCATTTCACTTAAACATTTACAAATAAAAAAGGGTCATTGTAAACATTTCTCATTAATCATAAATCATCGTAATTACGCCTACTGCAAATAATTAAACATAATGCTCAACTTACATAAGCCTTATATACATGGCGAGTGAGAATCATTGACATGTAACGAGAAGGTGGTACACCTTTTACTCTAATTAGCATTTTACTAATGGCGAGGTATCAAATGAATTAGATGGAACTGCTTAACAAGTATCAATTAAAAAGGTATCTAACTAATTTTTTCCATAGTTGCTTAAAGAATTTGTCAAAAAGGACTATATACCTATTGCTTAAAAATTATGGAATATGCACATTCAACGTATTTTTACAAGTGGTAGTACTGTTCTGTTAGCACATTTTTTTTAGATCTCGGGTACAAATTTTCCTTCTCAACCTTGCGACTTTTGGAAAGTACTAAATAAATTAAGTTTCAATCCTTAGCGGGTGGTTTTTAGTGCGTGATTTTATGCTTGAATCCTTTAGGAAATGAACTCGCTCCTTGTTGCTTATTATTGACTCGTATTGTCAGCAGTAACAAATCCTGGCAACGACAAATTATATCATGCTTCTTACCTTACAGTCCTTATATTTTTTTTTAATTAAAGACCCTCCAGTAGCATACCATGTTCCCGGCATTCACTTGACTTTACACTTCTTTGATAATTTTATTGTACTTCATAGCGGCGATGAATCGATAATTCTGGTACAAAGATTCATATCCTGGCCCACCGAGACCATCTTTCTCTTCCCAGGGGAAGCAACAGTAGTTACAATGCAGTAGCTGAAAGCGATCTGGGCTGGAAGGGGGCTGATTGTTCCAATTAGAATTCCCTTTCTACTGCAATGATGACCTTTCCTAAAGAAATCGAAATAAATATTGCCTGACCGACGTGTAGCTCAAAAACAGCTTAATCAATTACCATATGGAAATGTTGGCTTTTTTTAGTACCTCCTGAAAAATCTTGTACTGTCGTTTACGTTGATCGACTGCAAATAATAAATACGAGTTTAAAATGAAATGATTAAAAAAAAACAATCCAAATTCCACTATATCTTACATATTTCTTAATTAAAGGTTTTAGGATTAAGACTATCGTAGCCACGTTTCTTTCTAGCTTACTCCTATTTAATCCGCCTTAATAACAATAAGAAATATGGCGAATTTATACAAAAAACACTATAGCTAACAAGATTGAACTCAGGAATACTCTTTAATTTACTTAAAAAATTAAATCCAACTGAAAGAAGAACAACCATCTTTTAAATGAATCCAAGCAAAAGTATTTTATATACCTATTACAATACGGCTCAATACAACCAATTTACAGAAAAATCAATTCCTTGAGCATTTTTTTTAATTTCAATTCCAAATTCAAATTTAATACAATTTCTTAAAGATCACCGATCGCTACTTTTATACAAATAAAAAATGTTACGTTACCTTATAATTATAGTGATGTGCGGAATCGATAGTTTCTGGTGCCTTAAAGCTTGACAATACAGAATGGAAATTGGAAGGGCTACTGTTGAAATTTTCTAGATTTTCTACCTATTCGTATGCTAATGATCGGACAATGAACTTTCTAATATAAGTTGAGATCAGGAAAAATGCAAAACAATTTACGTTAAGATATACAGTGTGTTGCATTATTTTAAAATACCAACTTTGAATCAAATCTCAGAAACGGTGGGCAAAAATTTTTTTTCTATGCCACTGGATTCTACGAAAAAATATGTAAGATAAACAGTTTTTACATTTTTTAGCGCAATTCTATAAAAATTTTAATAAATGCCCTATTTTAGCCACTTTGTCCGACCGTCTGTCCGTCCGTCTGCCCGTCCGTCCGGTCAGCACTAGATCTTAAGAGCTATTTATTTATTTATTTATTGATTTATTTATTATCCTTCTCTTGTTCTGGGCCCTCAACAGGCTTGTGCCCAATTACAGAGTGACCCGGCTCAATACAACCAATTCATAATAATGCTTTTTTTTATTTTACTATTTTTGCCATTTGGTTCGTTATGGCGTCGAGGAAGGAATTTTTTTTGCGTTTATTATTACTACTAAAAAAGTTATGGTACAAAATCAATTTTTTCATGTACCATAATTTTACACCTTTGCTGTTTATTAACGATCCTCGAGACAGTTTATAATTTTGTTTTGTCTATTTGTCTCTCTGTTGTCTGTCTGTCTGTCCGTCTGTCTCCCTGTCCTCCTGTCTGTCTATCCGTGTGTACTACAACTTTGTTAAGAAACATCGGATCGCTCATCAAACCTCCAAAAGTAGGGTTCTTTTATCATTTTTGTTACAAAGTACATACGAATGTCCGGGTTTCTGTGTTAGTAAATATTCTTTAAATCTCGAGCAAATTTGCGCATGCGCAACCCAGCGTTGGTAAGTGCGCAATCCAATTTTTTTATTTGTTGAGATATTTAAATGAAACACTTTGTATAAAGGCACCTCCAATAAAAGTAAGACTAATATCAAATTAAAAAATTGGTTTACAAGCTATACTGAATGCTGATCTACTGGGACAAAATCAACCCCTTATGGTGTGTTGCAAAATTTACGGATGCGTGAAGATCTCAAGGATCGTTCGGTATTCAGTTTGTATCAGATTTTTGTGCTTATAAATTCTATACGCTAAGAATAGGCTGTGCATACGCAGTGCTAACTTTCTTATTTATGGACGGATTTTTTTGGTTAAAGAGCTAAAAACGAATATAGCTCGAGTAACTAATTTTTTGGACAAGGAACGCATAAAGAAGGAAACATTGCATTTGAAGTCGACGTAAGACAGGAATTTTATTTGGACAAATGTGTGTGTACAAGCCGATATCGGACAAACGAATTGGCCAGGTTTGATAATCATTGATGAATCAATTTGGCGACGTAGTTGGCGGTTCGTTCTTCGTTGGTGAATAACGATGCGGATTAATAGAGTGGATGTGCGGATTGCTTAAACAAGTGAAGTAAGTTTACAACGGGGCTGCTCGGGGGATTTTTGAAAGCGTGCGTAATCCACCTCACGTGATAATTTTATGCGCTGTTTGTTTTCAAGTTGTCTTGATAGACGTAGCCAGTCTGGTTCCGGCAAGTAGTCGTCTCCGTTTAAAAGTTTTGGTAAGAATTGGAATAATGTCGTCCTCCAGTTTATGAAAGTGTTACGTTGATGTAAATTTCTGCAAGTACCCGTTCAGTCAATTTTTAATCACGATTTCGTTGGATGAGTCGTTGGAAACTCACTTTTTATTCCTTGAGATCTCTTGAATTCATTTATTCATTCCGTTGTGTCCGTTCTGTGAACGGGTTGTGTACAAGAAAAGCTTTATGACGCCTTAAATATTTATTATAGGGTTTTGTATCTGTTACTTTTGTTTGATATTAAATTTTTGTAGTAGTAGGTTGTCATTGAATTATGTATCAATTTGATGTCCAATTTAAGAGTTAGGTTCAATTCCATTCAAGTATTATGTCAGATTTTTCCTTTAAGTTTGTTGCACCCGAATGGAATTACTGATTGCGGCATTTTTTTTATTGTGAGTGTGTAAAATCAACGACAGGATTTCTCTTTGTGCCGGCACCCTGAGTTTGGTTTT